ATTCTGAGTGAATTTTTTTTAACTCATCTAATCTACATTGTATATTAAATACATGTTTCCAAACGTGCGGAACCTGCGGGAATGAGTAAAACCAAAATGCGCAATCCCGCACCGAGATTCAGGACATGATTAAACATATATTCTGTTATATAGAGATTTGTAAAATAAATTTCCACGACTTTCCAAAGCTTTCGGAGGTTTTCATGACCGTACGGACCCTGTAAGTGGCTATTTTTATTTTTTTAAATCGTTTTGATGAAATTTCTGCTCCACTTTGTGTGGTGGTAGTGAGACGGGACAAAGTCCCTGTAAGATATTAGGTTATTCTATAGTCTTTGGATGATGTACTTAACATTATTTCAATGGTTTTACAGTTTTAAGTACAATCTAACTGATTTGCATGGGTTGTATTTACAACCCTCCAGAGTAATTTTTCACAGTGTATGATGTACTTAACATTATTTCAATGGTTTTACAGTTTTAAGTACAATCTAACTGATTTGCATGGGTTGTATTTACAACCCTCCAGAGTAATTTTTCACAGTGTAGGATGTACTTAACATTATTTCAATGGTTTTACAGTTTTAACAACAAAATAATTAAAAAATGTTGTATAATAAGCGAATAATTTTAAATTCAGCTTCACTGCAGAGAAAAAGTGCTGTGTCTGAAGTGTGTGGAGGGGGCGGTTTTAACAGTCAGCAGCGACTGTGTGATGTTCTACTTTTTCAAGACCACAAGAAGCTGCTTTCTGTCTCACTGCCAATATGTTTTTTTGGTGTGGAGTCTATCAAATTCACAAAATGTACAGAGGACTGCTATTTATGATTGGTATGTATTTATTTACATTATTTACAATTAATGTTTTTAATTATTTTATAACGTTTATTTGAGTTTGGGCATGTTTTAATCTCTTATTTATTTGAATCTGAAAATATATGGGCAAAAGTAAACAACATTATTTAAAAAATGAATCCTATTACGTTGTCCCTGTGATGTGAAATTATGTGGCCTGAATTATTTATGTTACAGTGATATACAGTGTGACCGGGTTCAACATTCAACATTCTCCCGTGAAGCATTTTACAAATGATGATCCACTCTTTGGGCAAAATGCTATTCAATCAAAAGATGGGTTGGTCATTTATGAGAGGCATTTTTTTTTGTAGAATTCAAAAGAGAGAAAGAGAGATCGTCGTAAAGAACATTTATTAATCTATTTTTAAAAAAAATGTCTTATCATGTTTTAGAATTTTTGTTCCTTCCCCAACAAATGGAAAATGTTTCAATTGCACTCTAGAGAATGAATGTGCTGAAGTAAATTTTGATGGAAAGTTTGTCTGTCTTTTTGTAATGAAGATTATTCTGGAAACGTTGTTAATTTCATAAAAATATAATCACTAATTTACACAAATACTTTTCCACTGTAAAAATC